CCCCCCCCTGAGGAACTCTGCCCCCTTTATAGTACATGTGTAATATTTCTCCTTCTGCAACCTCCATTACTTACCATCTACCTTGGAGATAAGCATACTGTAGCACACAGTTGTTTTGTATAGCATTTTAAAGAACTCACTAACCTTGAAGTAAGGTCGGTCATCGGTACGATTTCTCCACAGTTCAAGGAATGTTGCCGCTGAATAGTCTGGATATCCGAGCGTGCTTATAACTTTAGTCTCAATACCCAGTATGGCAAACATTCCATAAATCGTGTCGTCATGCTGAAAACTCGATCGATCTTTGGATATTTTGATCACTGTAGAACTGCTCCCACTGAAAATCGTCAAAGAGTCCTCTCAAAGCAATATTTGACTCTGGAGGGCGCGGTCAGCGGATGTTTAGTCATCAGTTTACTACGACATTCGATTCGCTATTCAAGCGCATTGCTGCGACCTGGAGCCAACGTCAACCGTGTTGTGCCGATTTCAAAAACTATCCCTCCTTAGCTTTTGAAAGGGGCCTGACATGAGCCCCCTAACCAAAAGCCCTGGAGATGTCACCCATGTAACCCTTATCACCTCCTATAGGCCGATGTCAGACTTTGCGAATCGCGCGATTCGCTAGCGTCTGCGGTCGCGTCGCGGCCAGTGAATCACTCAATTGGCTGGTACCGCAACGCGACCGCGGACGCTAGCGAATCGCGCGAATCGCTAGTAGCGAATCGCGCGAATCGCTAGTAGCGAATCGCGCGATTCGCAAAGTCTGACATCCCTCATACACATAACCATGGCTGTTTATATGACTGATTCTGAGACCAGTCAACCTACCCAAACTCTACCCATTTTTCCCACAGAAGGGCCGTCGAACGGAAGGTTCGGGGGGAGGAGTGAGCAGTAAATATAGCTAAGAACGGCGGATGTTCTGGTTTCGTCCACTTCATGGTTCTCGTTTGATTTCCGCCAAAATCATCGGAAACCCGCCTCAAACAGCCTCCTTCGCGCACTACGACCCCTTTCGAAGATCTCAGATGCGACACCTGCCACTATCAACAACACACAAAACAAATCTATGACCTTCCCTTTCAAAATATCCTGAATATTGCCTCTCCTCCCTCGAAAACGCGGTACTGACGGTTGACCATGCCGTGGCCCACCAACACCGTTACCAATCCGTTTGCAAAGATTGCACATCGCTGGCGGTACCAGTGTAGATGAGTTTTGAGTTTGTTACTATTTTTTGAGTTATTTTTGAGTTTTTTTTTTTGAGTTTTGAGTTATTTTTTTGAGTTTCTAATTTATTTTCGTTGAATAACTCGCAGCTCTTACCGCTGAGTAGACGTAGTATTTCAAGCCGTTGATCCACGAGCAATTTGATCCAGATTTGTTCATACATTGTAGTTTTATATTCATGTGCATATTGAGGTCGTTAACCAATGAACCACCACGGATTTTCTGAATCTCATTTCCAATATCGAGATTATTCATAATTAGTGGTCCATCTGAAAAATAACACTATTAGTTCTACACAGCTTACGTGAAAAACGCTAGAGGGTCATACACACACATCGGAGACCGTGCACGAATTTAGGCCGATGTCAGACTTTGCGAATCGCGCGATTCGCTAGCGTCTGCGGTCGCGTCGCGGCCAGTGAATCACTCAATTGGCTGGTACCGCAACGCGACCGCGGACGCTAGCGAATCGCTAGTAGCGAATCGCGCGATTCGCAAAGTCTGACATCGGCCTCAGGCTTGTGACCACGTAGCAAGCAGAAAAAGTTTAGAAAGCTCGATCAAATTGGAAGGTATGGCTGTTCGCATGGCTTAGAGCCCACTTTTCGAATGAAATGGTAAAAAAGGAGAAATAAGTTACTCTTGCCAAATATAAGCTACACAAGTCCAGAACGACGGCGGCATTCTGCGGGCTGCAACGGTTCCAAGTAATTACCCAGCGTGTAAAAAGGCATCCCATTGCAAATCACGGTAGAGGTTTCAATGGTCCAGCGAAGAAGAAAAAATCATGAGAAGCGGACATCCAAGAAATAGGACCCCTTCTTTGCCCGTAGATTTCGCACTTGTGCTCTCATCGGTGCTGCCCTCTTCAACGCTAACGCTCTCTCTGCTAAACGGCTAGAGGCTCAGACGGCGAGAGGGGCGTGCCGCGGCGATAGCGGCGCGGGACGGCCATGATCGCCGTGAGTGTATCCTCCGCTGCAGATTCCGTGTCGGTCCGCAATCTTAAGGGGTCCGTCTGCATTCCCACTATGTTGGTTTCCCCTTCTTCGACCCGGCCTTATAGTGGGAATCCTTCATCAAGGCAGAGTTGGCTCGGGAACGAGTTGGACACTTCATCGGCGGAAGAACACGTCAATAGTGGCAACGTGTCAAAAGGCGGTAAAACCACTGCCTCCAGACGCTTTCTTACCAATAGCAATGCGCGTGCACCGACGACGTGTCAAGCTCCGCCTCTTAGCTAGCGCGACCGCTGCCTTTAGGTTCCTGCTTTGGTAGCGTTGACAAAAGTCTTATGTTCTTATTGATAACGTTGATTACGTATAGGTTAATGTAACTCACCAAATATGCCATTTTGATAGATTTGCACTTGGTCATTTACAGTGGTCATTTTATTATACAGATCGTCGCTGAACCACGTGTTCACCTTCCTTAAGGTGTCGTTAGCATGTACTTGCTGGAATTCCACACTCATCTTTAGCTCTTCATATAGTCAAACTTTGAAGACCTAACTCACCTCGATGAACAGAGCGTCTCTTACTACCCATAAATTATCGATATCTATTGGTTCACCACAGAGTCTGGTCAAATTCGCAAGCAGATCAGCGACCTAAAAACTTCTTAAAATCAGCTGATGGCAGGGAGATTCTGCAAATTCTTGTATACCCTGTGAAAAAAAAGGAAACCGGTATGGTTTTCAAAATTTCACTGACATCCGGCCGTGTTTGAAATTCCTGAAGTTCTGGAACGACTGGAGTAGCTATACACATCACGCGCCTCCCCTATATGGGTCTGCCCGTCGCCCCAGGACCGCATATGGGCTGCAGCAACATGTCTTCTGGTACAAGTGGCAGCCATATGAAAACTGCCAGCTATACTCGCTTGCCAGGCGCTTGGAATGGAGAGGGATGGAAGGGGGGGGAGGAGATAGGTGGGCAAACCTCGTAATCGAGTGTAAAATGCTTTTAATTCCTTCACGGGGAAAGTGAATAAATGCTCTCTTTTCGTAACCACTATTTGTCGTTCTGATCGAAATCCTACTGTTATATGTTTAGATAATCTTTACGCATTGGACATTGCAGAAATTATTTTGTGACATTCATGTTTTTGTTCATTTACAAAACAAAATCTGCGGTTATGTGGTGAGGCGGCGGCGCCCACAAAATCGCGTCCGTCCCACGCGACCGAAAAGTGGAAAAGGGGCGTCGTCGTGAATGTGTTAAAGGCAATCTCTCGGACCTGAATGGTCTAAGAGGGATTCGCAGTGATAGGCTTAGCTGGCGGAGACCAATAGGGTCGGATGTGGTACGATGGCGAGAAAGGGCGGTCAAAGAAGACAAAATACGCGAGAGAGCACGTCGTTTGAGAGAGCACGCTGATCTCTCATCAATGCACGCTGATCTCACCACCTCTCGCGGTGGTGGGATGCGTTGGAAGGGAGTCGATGGTTGCGGGCCCGTAAGGATTAGCGCCCTAACCGCGCAATTTTTGCGACGAAGCTGGAGTGATCTAGGTAGTTACAGACCTTACAATTTCCCTAGTGGTATCCCTCCTACTAGTCGGGCCAATCCCGGGGTTTGCCTTTAAAGCACTTCCAGAAGGTTTTACGTTTGACTTCGTATGGGTGGAACGATGCGAAAAATTTAAGAAGCGGGCTGATTATAAAAGAACATTGAAAGAGCCGTTAGGAAGGGAGCTGAACGCGTCGTCCCGTGGTTAAACCGCCGTTGTGCCTCGCCAATCCAACTATCGCCCCCTTCGAAGGCGTTTCAGCTCATTTCGGGAGCTTTTCAGGATCAACAACCGAGTTTGTTCAAGCCATCACTTCTTGTGCTTTTGATTAAAACCGTTTTCCCAATCCTGCCTACCTGGATGCACGTATGCGAAGTTCTTGATAACAGTGGAAGGTCGGAAAGATCACTGGCGAGCTCAAAGTAGATGGAAGACTTGAATTAGAGTACGTCGCAAGCTTTTGCTGTTGCAGGCAGCGACTCAGATGGCAATTGACGTTGCTGTTAAGGACATTGACTTAAAATTGATTGAAACAAAAGGCCAATTAACACACTATGGAAGAACATCCAAGACAGATAGAGACAAATATAGGTAAACATTCGAAATTCTTTCTTACCACTTGAACGAGTAGCAGTTCCATTTCACCATCTTTCGCACCTGCTGTTAATGTCCATGGACACAAGAGCAGACATAAAGCTATAGAATTTTGCATTTCTCTTCGGAAGAACACAATATTATGCTGAAACTGTGAAAAATACCATTTCGTGAGCTCGTATAGCCCTATCAATGACTTATTGAGAAAACTATGTGATAATCAATCTTAAACCAATCACAGCCATGTACCTTTACTTGATACGCAGAGAGCAAATGTTGCTGGACCAGCAAGTACAACTGGTGGGGCTAATCGCGGTATTGCGTTACGGAATGCTGGTCTTAAGCTTCTTGTGATAAGATGTTAAAGCGCGATTTGCTTATCACCACTTCTATTTTGAGCAGAACTTCCACGACGGTCTAAAATAGCTCACAGCGTTGAATAAAGCATTGAATTGCATATCTTGAGTCAGCATGGTAGCCTTCTAAAGAAATTTGAAAGGCATGAAGGTGATCAGGTTTCGACTTGATCATCGAGGAGGTCGTTTCACGAACGCCCAGCTTTCTCGAAACGGTTTTTTGCATGATATAGGGGTACGTGCATGGAACACAGAACTGTAGTTCATTTTTCCTGAGCGGCCCTCTGAATACAAAAAAGGGGTGATGAAGTGGTCCGTGGTTCGAATCCTCGCAGTGACAATTTTTTGCATTTTGTGTTGGCGTTTCAAAATTCGCGAAAAATAGCGTCAGCGGAAATAACTTATGTCATATCTATAATTAGGACCATCAGCAACCTTTATACGTAGACTTTGGCCTAAAAAACTGGTGAAGATAGTAAGAACGGCAGTTCCATAAGGAATTTTTCTTCGCTCCTTTTTTGATATTTAGAGGGTCGCTCAGGAAAAATGAATACAGTTTCTGTGTTCCATGCACGGTACTCTCTATATCATGCAAAAACCGTTTCGAGAAAAGCTGAGCATTTCTGGAAGACCTCCCTGTGCGGTGCTATAACCGCCCGGGATCTGAACACCTCGGTCTCCAGAAAGATGCGGTTTACAGAAGGCTTCCAATGGATTCCATCAAGTCTGATAGACATCACTAGTTTTACCTCAGTTATTCAAAGACTACGAATCCCTCGGGAAGGAATTTCATTTTATAAAACTTTTGTAACCTTCCAGAAGAGCATGATTATACACCCTTTTCCAGTTTACGTCCATCGGCTAGCGCACATAAATATTGAGTGCACGAGTCGCGTTACATTCGGAATGTTATTTACTTGGGAAATGAAAGAAAGGTGAGAATGAACCTGGAAGAAGTGAGGAAAAAAAGGCAAAAACAGCCCATAAAAAGCACATAAATGAAATAAGTCGAGGCCATTTTCTTCCTGTGACCATGGAATGACGGAGACATTCCGCTGCGAGAAGAAAGAGCACGAGAAGAGCTTGCTTACAGAAAGCACAGCACTACGAATGCTTAAGATGTCAAAGAACCAGCAGGATCGAAGAAAGGGCATAAGCACCATTGTGGCGTTCCTTGCGGTTCCTATCGTTTGTTACTTTTCGAAAAATTTTACGACCCCCCTCCCCCAACGTGGATTTGATACGACCCCCTTTTCCTACCTCCACCATCTCCCATCTTCCATCAAAACCCCGCCCACTTTTTCCTCCAAAAATGCCGTCGAGCGGGGGGGTATATACGCCCGCTGAAACGGCAAATTTTTATCCTGCGCGCCCTCCACTCGCCCAGCCTACTACCCACGAAATCTTAGTTTCACCTCAATCCCACACGTGATTTCGAGCGACTAAAGTGGGTACGACCCCCCCTCCTACAAACTCAACCAGGTACGACCCCCCCGTTGTTACTCGTAACAACGTAGGGTTGACCCTGGTTTACAGTAATCCGCCTACTGCCTCATTCAAGCAAAGATGATTTCTCAAGGATTTGATCGCAATCCGCTTCGTGGTATAATACCGCCTACAGGACCTTCCTAAAATCTTGAGTCTGAATGATCTGAATCAGAATACATGGGCCGGCTCGAGAGTGGGCCGTGGACTTTACTGCCGTGCTATGTGCTTCCGAAGATTGCGACCCACCAAGACAAAACCCCAAAGAACTGGCATTTTCTCCCCTTCCTATTGATGCAGACCTTGTCGTATACAACTCTTCAGCTGCCATATTTCCTCATCCTTGGAGAAATGCTTCACTTTCTACTTCCTTTACTTTCTTTTCTTTTTCTTACTTTTTCTTTACTCGTATAACTTGAGGAGATTTGACTGTCTTTGTGAAATCACCTGCGGCGGCTCCATTCTAGCTGATTAGAAAGCACATCCTTTGTTCGATACAGATGAAGTCTTGATTATCGAGTCACGATAGTAAACATCTGTGTCAAACCGACCGGCATTTCAATACACTTCTGATAAGGAAAGAAGAAAATCTTGATCAACGATTTTCTCAGACTCGTGAAAGAGCTTTTGCCGTGTAAGAGCGTTTTAAATGTACAAGGTTACAAACGATAAAGCTTCAGAGGGTAAGCCATTGGGGGCAGACGTCGCTCTCTATTTGACATGTGCCTCGCAATGTACTTTCCACTCAGGATCGCAGTGGAAATTTGCATGCAAAATTATTGAGTTTTGGAACTATCATAAAAATAAATAAAAGAAAACCTGAAAAATAAAGGAGGAAATCACGACAACAACGAAGGTCAAGGAAGGGGAAATTTGCATAGACCATACTCATGAGACCGTTCCGGCGGATGGCACGCCCACCGACAATCTAATCACTCGCCGCAGGTCTATACGCGAGTGATTAGATAGCAGAGAGAGCGTAGTGTTGAAGAGGGCACAGCGATGAGAGTCGCATCAATGCGCAAATCAACGGGCAAGGAAGGGGTCCCATTTCTCGGGTTTCGGGCCGTTTCAAATGGTTTCTTCTTCATCCCTGCTCCACTGACCACCTCTACCCTTATTTCCCCTTAACTTTTCATCGTAAATTCTGCCTTAAATTCTAGGTCTTTACTCAAATCTAACTATTTTTCTTTGGAAGCGATTTGGCTATGCAATCACTTACAAGGGAAGTTTCTGTACAAGCCTATTATTTGTCCTCTCAGACAATTCTGATACGGCTCTTTGAAGTATTTAGGACAGGGAAGGCCGATGGCGAAGTACAGATCAAATGATCCGCGAACCGTGCGCGTGATGAACGGCGCCACTTACCACTACGCTGTCGATGCTTATGTGATGAACTTCGTCTAATAGTGACTTTAAAAAATTTATTGAATCACAACAATGTTGTATTTATACAGAGCCATTTCAAACTGGCAACAAAAGATGTCAATTGTTCATCCATGTGGAGATCATCGTCATGAGCACTGAAACGTAATATATATTATTCACAGTCAAGGTAGAACCAAACTATGCAAGATGTATAAAATTCAGGAAAGTTCAGAAAATTGTAAACACCAATTCACCAATAAAATGGGTTATAATGGCGCAAAGCGTAATAAGCTTCCGGAGAAAGAAGGCATCAGCGAGTCTGGAACTGATTCTTCCAAAACAATCAGCTTTGCATGTAAAGGGTATCAATTGAGCACTTTTGGTTAATGAAAAAGGCGTTATCACAAGATGTGGGGGCATTCCCCAGGATCCAGCTTGGAGGAGGCCGGAGTTCGATGAAAACGAAATTTGCTCACCATCCTGGAAACTTCTTCCGTCGTGTGGGAAACATTTGCCCCCTTATCTTGTGATACCACATCGAAAACTAATGGAAAGGCGCTATGGCAGCTGTAATGTTCGAGTGTAAGCTATTCGCAGATTCCTTGAACTTTCTAGCCGCATTTCCGCAGCAATTTCCACTTATCACTTCCCCATCCACTATTTTTCCAGCGCGATTTCCCTGCTATGCTTTTGGGTACAACATGATCTGCTAAGCAATTGAAAGCTGTTCATCTTTATGAAAGAATGCATAATAAATGGTTACCTGTGCTCAGAAGGAAAATTTGGGAATCTGATAAGTTTGTAGGACGAGGATCGACTTCACACCACTGAAATGCTCAGAACTCAAAAGTGGAACAACGCCTAATGTAAGGGATTACGGAAACACTGCAGAGAACATAAGTCCTACCTGATCCATCGGCTGATCGGGTCTCGTTCTATCTGCGAATGCTTGGAACTTGTCTAGACTGCAGTACACTTGTCCTTTACAGGGGTCAATGTAATGAGTAATAGGATAAAGCGTGACATTTTTATCGTTCTGATGGTACGTGAGCTGAAACAATGTCGAGCAACTATGTCAACTTTCTTGGCTTTATGCAACCAGATTAGTCCCCCGTCAACCGCCGGGACCTTCCTTTCCTGCGCAAGCTTTCTATCCTCCGCTATGGTCCCTTCCTCCTGTGACACCAACACCTCTGGAAGTGACGCGTATGCAACACAATGGTGTTTCATACAGTAGAAGGGACACAATCATGATATGACGGTAGATTTTTCGCTTCCCTTCCTCATCCTCCCTTCCTCTCTCCACTGCCCTCCAGCTGCCACTGCAGCACCATGTGGAATGAACGGAAGTGTGCTAAGCAGGTGTTTATATAGCCCTAAGAGTGTTATCACAACTATCCTGCTACAAAACATTGATATCTCAAATCCTGTAAGCTACCCGATTTGTTAGCGGTTTGTTTATCCCATGAGCTTCCTTCTCACTCACTTCATTTTGCGGACGGACACACATACATACATACACACACATACAGATACACAAACCGACACACAAAGTTAGCGCTTTATAAAATAGAAGGATAATTAAATCAAGCTCTCCCTTTGTGTGTCGGCCTCTCCTCTAAATGGCTAGAGCCCGATGGCAAAGGGGTAGCCGGGGACAGTTGATGAGCGTGCGAAGGGAGGCACTGCTACAGCACTATGAAGTCCCAGGGTGCCCCCGTAGCAGAAAAGCCCCCCCCCCCCCCCTTGAGGAACTCTGCCCCCTTTATAGTACATGTGTAATATTTCTCCTTCTGCAACCTCCATTACTTACCATCTCCCTTGAGAAGCATACTGTAGCACACAGTTGTTTTGTATAGCCGATGTCCAGACTCCGCTAATCGCGCGATTCGCTAGCGTCTGCGGTCGCGTCGCGGCCAGTGAATCACTCAATTGGCTGGTACCGCAACGCGACCGCGGACGCTAGCGAATCGCTAGTAGCGAATCGCGCGATTCGCAAAGTCTGACATCGGCCTATTGCATCTTAAAGAACTCAACTACCTTGAAGTAAGGTCGGTCATCGGTACGATTTCTCCACAGTTCAAGGAATGTTGCCGCTGAATAGTCTGGATATCCGAGCGTGCTTATAACTTTAGTCTCAATACCCAGTATGGCAAACATTCCATAAATCGTGTCGTCATGCTGAAAACTCGATCGATCTTTGGATATTTTGATCACTGTAGAACTGCTCCCACTAAAAGTCGTCAAAGAGACCTCTCAAAGCAATATTTGACTCTGGAGGGGGCGGTCAGCGGATCTTTAGTCATCAGTTTACTACGACATTCGATTCGCTATTCAAGCGCATTGCTGCGACCTGGAGCCAACGTCAACCGTGTTGTGCCGATTTCAAAAACTATCCCTCCTTAGCTTTTGAAAGGGGCCTGACATGAGCCCCCTACACCAAAACCCTGGAGATGTCACCATGTACGCCTTATCGAACGTCTATAGGCCGATGTCAGACTTTGCGAATCGCGCGATTCGCTAGCGTCTGCGGTCGCGTCGCGGCCAGTGAATCACTCAATTGGCTGGTACACGCAACGCGCGCGGACGCTAGCGAATCGCGCGAATCGCTAGTAGCGAATCGCGCGAATCGCAAGTAGCCACTCGCGCATTCGCAAAGTCGACTCCGCCATACACATAACGCATGGGCTGTTATATGACTGATTCTGAGCGCAGTCAACCTACCCAAACTTCTAGCCATTTTTCGCCACCGAAGGCCTCGGAACGGAAGGTTCGGGGGGAGGAGTGAGCAGTAAATATAGCTAAGAACGGCGGATGTTCTGGTTTCGTCCACTTCATGGTTCTCGTTTGATTTCCGCCAAAATCATCGGAAACCCTCCTCAAACAGCCTCCTTCGTGCACTACGGCCCGCCTCCGAATATCCCAATCAACACCTCCACTATCACACACCAAAACAAACCTATGACTTCCGTTTCAAAACACCTGAATGTTTGCCTCTCCCTCCTCGACACGGCGGTACTGGACGGTTGACCATGCGTGCCCTCCAACTTCCTATCACGTTGCAAAGATTGCCCATCGTGCCGTACCAGTTAGATGATTTTGAGTTTGTTACTCCTTTTCAGATTTTTTGAATTTTGATTTTTTGGATTTCCTAATTTTTTTCTTTGAATAACCCGCAGCTCTTACCGCTGAGTAGGACGTAGTATTTCAAGCCGTTGATCCACGAGCAATTTGATCCAGATTTGTTCATACATTGTAGTTTTATATTCATGTGCATATTGAGGTCGTTAACCAATGAACCACCACGGATTTTCTGAATCTCATTTCCAATATCGAGATTATTCATAATTAGTGGTCCATCTGAAAAATAACACTATTAGTTCTACACAGCTTACGTGAAAAACGCTAGAGGGTCATACACACACATCGGAGACCGTGCACGAATTTAGGCCGATGTCAGACTTTGCGAATCGCGCGATTCGCTAGCGTCTGCGGTCGCGTCGCGGCCAGTGAATCACTCAATTGGCTGGTACCGCAACGCGACCGCGGACGCTAGCGAATCGCTAGTAGCGAATCGCGCGATTCGCAAAGTCTGACATCGGCCTCAAGCTTGGTGACCACGTAGCAATCAGAAAAAGTTTAGAAAGCTCGATCAAATTGGAAGGTATGGCTGTTCGCATGGCTTAGAGCCCACTTTTCGAATGAAATGGTAAAAAAGGAGAAGTAGTACCTCTTGCCAAAGTATAGCCTATAAAGTCCAGTGCGACCAACATTCTGCGGGCTGCTCACGGTTCCAACAGGTATTACCATAGCGTGTAATCGATAATCCCATTGCAAATCACGGTAGAGGTTCCAATGGTCCAGCGAAGAAGAAAAAATCATGAGAAGCGGACATCCAAGAAATAGGACCTTTTCTTCGCCGCAGATTTCCATACTTGTGCTAGTCATACAGGTGAAAGTTGTCCGAAACCTCCACCTCCGAATGTCCAATTGCCATCCTGGAACGGATCGGTCGGGAAGGTTTTCGTAGGGGATCGATCGCCATGTCGCCATACCTGAAGCAAAAAAACATACGCATATAGAGCAAGTTTCATGGGCAAAACACATTCCGAAAATGAGTGTCGATCTTGTAATC